GGCGTCCCGCTCCCCGCCCTCACCTGACCCCCCCATCCCCGTGCCATCCCTCCGGCCCCCGGCACCTCTCACCACCCACCGAGAGTCCTGGATCTCCGGCGCCGCCCCCTCCTCTCCGGCTCCGCAGGCCCCGCACCCCGGCTCAGACTGCCCCCCCTCTGCGCGGTGTGGGTCCCTCCTGCGCGCTCCTCTCGGTTCCCCCTCGGTCCTGTCGCTTCCACGTCCTGCCCACCCCCAGCCCTGGACTCCCTCCAGGGGCTTCGCCCACTTGGGTGCACTGACCACAAAGTTTCCTGTTGGTAATTTAGTGGGTCAGAGGTGGGGAGAACGAGAGACAAAGGTTCCCGTGTGGGCAGAGCCTCAGCCGGGGGAGGGGGGCCCCCAGCTCACCCCGGACTCCTTGCGGTGCTCCGCTAAGCTCTGCTTCTGCCTCCCCGCCCCACAGATCCCGACTGGGCCTCCTACAAGCTGGGGATCTTCATCTGTCTGCACTGCTCTGGCGTCCATCGCAACTTCCCAGAGATCAGCAAAGTCAAATCTGTGCGACTTGACTTCTGGGACGATAGCATTGTGGAGGTAGGAAGGCATGCACGTGCAGAGTTGGAGTGAAAGGATGGGGAGGGAGGAAACTGAAGGCCAGAGAGGGCCACGACTAAGGAGAGGATACAGCCTAGCAGATAGAGGCCTACACAAGGTCCCTGAGTTCAAGTCCTGCCTCATCACTTGCTTACTTACAAGCTGGGAGGTGGTGAGCTAGCTACTTAATCCTAGCTCTGGACCTTCGGTTTCCATGGTGGTGGTATGGGCAGACACCACCCGTTCAAGGGCTGCTTGTAAGGATTCAATGCGGGCTCAGTCCAGGTGCAAGTAAGCTGTCAATTAACAGTTGCTGTTGTCATTCGTGGGAGGCCCTAGACTAGAGGAAGGGAAACATCCTGGTCCCCGGTCTGTGACGTCCTCCTCCTCTCTCCAGTCAAGAAAAGGATCACTGCCCTCCCGCCCTGTGGGCACGGAGGATGCTCTAGGCCAGTGGCATTGCTGCTGTGGCTGTAAAGCCTTCAGAGAGCAGGCAGTCCATACTCTACTGTTTGGCAGAAGGGTTCAAAGACTGGGGAAGCCGGTGACATTACTGGACCCTGACTGTGCATTCAGGACTGTACGAGACCCCGCTGGACTGGAACGTTTACTTAGCACATAGCTCCTCCAAGCCCAGTGTGTGCTGGGTGCTGAGGGGTCCCCGCTCCTCCCGGGCTTCTGATCTAGTACATGAGGCACTCGGGGAAACCCATCCACCGACACAGGAACCTCACAGGTTTTATTTGTGCCTTGCAACGCCCCTGTCCTCTTTTCAATTTTGCAAGTATAAAAGGCCCTTGGGATCCCAGGGTCACTCGTGGACTAAATGGCAAAGTTGGAACTTGAATCCTGCTCTGTTGGGATCCAAAGCTGGTGCACACCCTGGGACATGGCCCAGAGATCCCCCCGGAGGGGTTCACTCTGCCCAGGGGATTCGCACTCACAACCTAGTGTTTCTTCCCTTCCTTTCCTCGCCCTCGCTTTGGTACTGGCACATCCACTCTTGGTCTGTCAGTCACTGATCCTGCTGACCCACATATCAATGGGGCCTGTGCCCATTTTTTTCACCCTCCAGCTGCCTGGGTCTTTCTTCTGCAGATCTTTAGGGCCATTGGAGGTCCTGGCCATTGATGGAGGAAGTGGGAGAAAGAACATGGAGTCACACAGGGCGGGTTCAAATCTTAGTTTTCTACTTACTAGCTGTGTCGCCTTGGGCGAATCATCTAATCTCTCAACTTCCTGCCACTCCTCTCTAAAGTGAGGATGGGAATAGTACAATGGTGGGGGCTCCAGCGGGCTGCTGTGGAAGAGCTGTTCCTCCATGAGGCATGGGTGGTACTGTCCCTCACTGTGCTGAGCTGAGCTGGGGCTTCCCAGAAGGGCCAGTGACCATGCCTGGTGGGCAGTCTCCTTCCAGGAGGCGGCGTCTTCCAACTCAGCCAGGAGCCAGTGAAATCGGTGGCCTTAGTTTCATTTCATGCTGCTTCAAGTTCTCATATTAGCTCAAATTACTATTGTCTTGCAGTTTATGAGTCACAATGGAAACCTCCGAGTGAAAGCCAAGTTCGAAGCCAGAGTCCCAGCCTTCTACTACATCCCCCAGGCCAGTGACTGCTCGTGAGTGAGCCATTTCTTAGGGGCAGCATGAGGGGGTCTGCCTGGTACCATGTCGCCCACCCCATCCCATCTCTGGCATCTTTGGGTGGTCTCCACATACTCAGCAGGTAGATCCAGGAATGTATTTGTTATGGAGGATATGTAAGAATCCTGGTTTGCAGGTTGCGGTGGTGCACACCTATAATCACAGCTACTCAGGAGACTAAGGCAGGAGGATCACAAGTTCAAGGCCAGCATGGGCAAATTAAGCAGAACCTGTCTCAAAATAGAAGAAGCTGGAGATGTAGCTCAGTGGGAGAGTGCTTGCCTAGCATGTGCAAGGCCCTGCATTCAATCCCCAGTAGTGAAAGAAGAAAAAGAAATCAGACTTGGTGGGGCATGCCTGGGACATTGAGGCAGAAGGATTGCAAGTTCGAACCCTGACTGAGCAATTTAGCAAGACTCTGTCTTAACAATAAAAAATAAAAGGGCTGGGGATGTATTTCCGTCCAAAGGCCCTTGGTGAAATCCCCAGTACCACAAAAATCAAAAGGAAGGAAGGGAGAGAGGCAGAGAAAGAGGGAGGGAGAGGAAGAAGGGTCCTGGTTTAAGTGTTTCTCCATCCCTGTTCCTGGTATGTTACTCCCCCTTCCTGGGCTCAGATCCCATAGCTGCACAGTGGGATTTTCTCTGTGATGTAGCCCTCTGCCTCTGATGTTCCTGTAACCTGCATTTGAGAGAGGGAACAAGTGCTGGTGTTGTAGTAGAACAGGTATGTTTGAGCTACTTCTTGTTGAGTGCTATCTAGGGCTGTCCTCCCTAAGCTCAGGCTGGCTCCAGAAGACATGCCTAAGCAGCAGATCCTGAATAATAACCATAAAGATAAGAGTAGCTACTAATATTTATTGAATTTCTCCTATAGGCCAGGTGCTGTGCTAACTGGTACCATGCATTACTTCTTTCATTTTCCCTACAACCTCATAAGCATCACGATTGATCCTGTGTTACAGGGCTGAGCCCTCCTGACACCGGGGCGTGGTGACTGTGTTGGCATTAGGAGAACCCATGATACAAGAGGGCTGTGGAGCAGTGGATCGGTGGGAGATCAGAGTGACCTGGTACCTATGACCTTGGACTTCTAGGGCACTGACCACTTGACCCTGACCCTGCTTTGCCGGGGCTCAGACTCACTACCACAGCCATTAGTCAGTGCCGTATTTAAATGGAGCAAAAGGGTCCTCCAGGCAGACACAGCCAGCAGGGAGCAAGCTGTACTTTGGTCACCTCGCTCTGCAGAGTGCTTTTGAGCAGTGCACAAACTACACAACTGTATCTGGTGGCCCTGCAGGTTTTCAGCCCTCAGATAACCCTGGGATGCTGATGCAGCATGGAGTAGCAGGGTAACACAGCTTTCTATTCAGAAGTCCCACAGGGCCAGATATTTAGCTTAGTGGCACTGCACCTGCCTTGCAATCACAAGGTCCTGAGTTCGATCCCCAGTACCAAAAAGAAAAAAAAAAAAGTCTTCAGTTTTGTTTCCCAATTTGACCACTCCCACCTGTGAAGAGGTGGACAAGTTACTAGCCCTCATGTCTGAAATATATTTTTTAATTTTTTTTTTGTTTTTTTGAGACAGGGTTTCAGTATGTAGTTGAGACTGACCTGGAACTCACTATGTAGCCCAGGCTGGTCTCGAACTCACAGCGATCCTCCTGCCTCAGCCTCCCGAGTGCTTTGATTACAGGCGTGCGCCACCACGCCCAGCTCTCGTCTCTGAAATATAGACAATGCTGTCTGCCCTATGGCACAGTTATAGAGATCAACTGAGAAAGTTAATGTAAAGCTCTCACATTGCTACCTGACATCCTCATTTTGTTTTGTTTTATTGAGACAGGGTTCTAGGCTGGCCTAGAACTTGTGATTCTCCTGCCTCAGCCTCCCAAGTGCTGGGATTAAAAGCATGTACAATGCTGGGCATGGTGGCGCACACCTGCAATCCCAGCACTTGGGAGGCTGAGGCAGGAGGATTACTATGAATTCAAGACCAGCCTGGGTTACATAGTGAATTCCAGGTCAGTCTCAACTATAGAGTGAGACCCTGTCTCAAGACAAAAATAAAAACAAAATAATAATCAATCAATCAATCAATAACTTTTTTTAAAAAAGCACGTGCCACCACGCCTGACCACACTAGTTTTAATTCATTTCTGTCAGTTTCCAAATGCTGCCTAGTCCTGAGGCTGGCTGAGGGCTGTGCTAGCTCCATTGAAAGGCCCCATCATCTTGCCTTACTGCTGCCGCTCAGCCCTTTGCTCCAAGAACTTGCTGTGTGTAGCTTTCTGCTAGGACCACACAGACACTGATTGTCGTGACTTCAAAACAGACTACATTTTAACCCCTTTGGTCTGAGTACTAATGGTCACCACCTCCCAGGTCTAAATGTCCTCTAACTTCCCCACTGTGCCCTGGCTGTCCAATCCCTCTCTCAGCTCTGACCCTGTGGCCCAGGATTTCCACCTCCTGGTGTGCCTGGTGGCTCTCCCCAGTGTCCTGAGGGCAAGAGCTGAAGGACTCTTGACAGAAACCCAGTGTCAGCTGGCTCAGGCTGATGAGGACTCTGTGGGTGCTGGGGATCAAACTACAGGAAGGACTAGGGTGGAGTCACCCTCAGGAAGGACCAAGCCAGAGCTTTCACTCTCTGTTCTTGTCCCTACATTTCCTCTACGCCAGATTTTTTCACATAGTTGGCAGCAAGGTCACTTCCAGGTGCCAGGCTGTACTGCCCAGTACAACCCCAGAGAGGGCTTCCAATCAGTTTCTCCACTTCAGTCCATGCAGCCCAGGGCTCTGACTGTCCAGCTCTAGGTCATTCCGGTGGCCAGAGCATAAGGTCATCCAAACCTTGGAGCATTTACCTGGAAAAGGTGAAAGAGAACAAAACAATCCAAATAATTCTACTCTGGGCTGCACAGTTTTCCTGCAGGGGGCCGTGGATAATGACATCTGATGGAGGTAGCATTAATCGCCTGCTCTATGCCAGCCATGGTGCTGGGCCTCTTACATACGTTTAGACTTCTCATCAGCTTTGAAGCATGGGTAGATACACCACTGGTGTATTCCCCAAGTTCAGAGGAGCGAAGTAACTTGTTCCTGGTCACACAGTGGGCCTCAGTGACCACAGATCCAGGTGGTCAGGTGGGCCTCAGTGACCACAGATCCAGGTGGTCAGGCCCAAGGCCACGGCCTACCCAGTGTCACATGTCCAGGGTTCAAGAGCAGACCCAGAAAGAGGCTCTTGGTCTCTCCTGGCTCAGGCTCCTGACTATACAGTGGAAGGTGCTTGGAGATGCCCTGGGAGGCTGTGCCTTCCTTAATGACCCAGAGGGCTGAGGCTGGGGCTGGGAAAGCCCAGTGATGCTCGGCCCATGGGGAGAAATATTTCCTCCCTGGAAACATTTGGCGATGTCTCAAGACCCTTTGGGTATTATATCTGGGGGAGTGGATGCCACTAAATGGTCTACAACGCACAGCACAACCCCTCATGACAAAGAATTACCTAGCACCAAATGTTAATACTGAGGCCAGGGCCGGGGATTTAGCTCAGTGGTTCTGCCACCTGTCTTGCAAGCTCTAGGACCTGAATTCAATCCCCAGTACCAAACAAACAAACAAAAAACTATTCTGAGGCTAGAAAGCCTGGATGTCTGGAGCAGGCAAGAAGGCAGTGACAGTGATGTTCCTGCCTTCAGCTGCGTGGCCTTGGAAAGGTACTGGGGAGAGAGCAGAGCAGGTGCAGCTGACCAGAGCTTCTCTCTTTTTAGGGTCTTAAAGGAGCAATGGATTCGAGCTAAGTATGAGAGACAGGAGTTTATGGCCGATGGGAAACCCCTTTCTCCACAAGGTAAAGCTGTTTTCTAATCTTCAAGATTTGTATTCTGGTGAGGCTGGGTATTAGCAGCAAGATGCATCCACAAGATGCCTGCTGCCCCGTGGTACCCCTATAGCCACAGCCTGGGCTCCCATGCCTGGGAACAGTAAGCACATGGGCAGGTGGGGTTTATGATCTAAGCAGCAGAGAAGCAGATAGGTCTTTGCAGGGCCATAGGGTCACAGAGCCTTTTTAAAAATCTAGTACCATGGATCGATCTCAACTTTGCGCTTGCCAGGCTGGCACAGTGCCATTGAGCTGAATCCCAGCTTATAGAGTCTTACTGTAGGCTGTAGGAAGCCTCCTTCACTGACCCATCAGAGCAAGACACCCTGCTCCTGGCTAATTCGACTTCGGTGTGGCTCAAGCCTTAGTTTCAGCCTCCTTTTCCTTTACTGTTCAGGGCACGACCTCGTTGGTGGCCCTGGATCCATGGCAGTTTTCACCCCACTGCGTTGAGTCCAAGTCAGCAGTGACCCACAGAGTAAAGTACACGAAAGCCCTCTGGGAGGACCAGAGGAAACCAGCACACAGCTCTTTGTGCTAACTGAAGTACAAATTATTCTTCAGACTGGCATGTGCCTTGAGCTCACTCAGAATCCCCTATTAGGCCATTGTCAACGTGAAGTGGAGCAGGCCCGTGTATACTTTGACCTCTTTCCGAATCCGTCCAGTTTCTCTGGATTTGGCTTTCTGGTGGGTTTGTTGTATTTTCTGATGGGACAGCCTGGTTCCCTGGAGAGCAGGGGAGAAAGGTTTTGCACTGTGGGGAGTTCTCCCAAAATGATAAGACACCGTGGGGTTGGCCACAGACAGGACCCTCGCGTCCTATAGCTGAAACTGCCGAGTCAGATCAGAGGGCCTGGGTGACAGGGGAGGGCTCTCTGCCCCAAAACCCTAAGGGACTCGGGAGCCGCTTGTGCACCTGAAGGTCAAGGTGTTCACTCCTTCTTGTCCTTGTGGGCCAGGTAACCGAGAAGGAATCCTGTGGAAGCGGGGAAGGGACAACGCACAGTACCTGAGGAGGAGATTTGTCCTGCTGGCAAGAGAAGGCCTCCTCAAATACTACACCAAGGAGCAGGTAAGAGGCCAGCCTGCAAATGGCTTCTTCCTCCAGTGCCAGTTCGTTGGGCCCTTTCCGTTGATCTTGCAGTCCTCTGTCTCAGCCTCCCAAGTAGCTGGGATTACAAGCATGTGCCACCACCCCTGAGGGTTTATTTGTTTACTTGTTTTTTTGTTTGTTTGTTTTTGGTTTTTTTGAGACAGGGTCTCACTATGTAGTTGAGACTGATGTGGAACTCACTATGTAGCCCAGGCTGGTCTCGAACTCACAGTGATCCTCCTGCCTCAGCCTCCTGAGTTCTGGGATTACAGGCGTGCGCCATCACACCCAGCTGTTTACTTGTTTTTAAGTGGTATCTCACTGTTATTCAGGCTAGCCTCAAGCACCAGGGCTCAAGCAGTCCTCCTGCCTCAGCTTCCTGAGTAGCTTGGACTAAAGGCACACTAGAGACTGGTCCATGTTAAAGCCTATGATGATCACTTAATTTTACCATATTCATTTATCCATTCATTCATTCACTTAAGAAGTATTTGTTGATTCAACTCAGTAATTACAATCATTCTGTTATGAAGGAGATGCTTGGTCTTCACTGTGTTATAAAATATAAGAATGTATTTAACTTTAAAAAAAAGTATTTGTTGAGCATCTGCTATGTGCTAGACATTATTCTAGGCACTGGGGATATAGAGTAAACTAAACAATGCTCTCATTCTAATGGAGCTTCCCTTCCAGCAGGAGATGGGCAGAGGCCAAGACCTGCAATGAAGTCACCAGGTAGCAAGAGGTTCTGGGACATAAAGTATAAGATGAAGTAAAGTATAGTATAAGATGAGGGGTAGAGAGTGAGGGGCTTGTGTGGGGCTACACATTGAGGTCCAGAAGGTCAAGGGGCTAACCGCAAGCACCTCTGTGCCCATCAGGAAAAGTGACCCATCTGAGAAGTGAGGCCCAGGGCCTGGTCTCACTAGTCAGAAACCAGGTTGCAGCTCACACTCAGCTTTTTGTGCAATGTACAGACTGCTCAGCGGTACGCCACAGACCTGGCCCAGTGCTGGGAGTGTGATTGATGGAGTCTATAGGCACCAAGGAGGCCCAGAGACCGGTGCAGGGAAGGATGGTGAAGTCACACAGTGGAGGACCTTGTGGGCCACAGTAGGACTTGAGTTTTTTGTTTCTTTGTTTGCAATGCTGGAGATCAGGCCCAGAGATTTTCTTTTTCTTTTCCTTTCTTTTTTTTTTGGTATGGGGGATCAAATTCAGGACTTTATACCCACAGGTGCAGGCAACACTGAGATAAATCCCCAGCCCCAAGCCCAGATTTTAAACATACAGCTTTATTGAGACATAATTCACAGTCTATACAATTCACCTGTTTGAAGTATGCAAGAAATGCCTCTTAGTATTCACAGAGTTATGCAATTATTATTGTGATTTTTTTTTTTTAAACAGAGTCTCTCTGTGCACTTCAGCCTGGCCTTGAACTCACTTTGTAGTCTAGACTGGCCTTGAACTTGAAGCAATCCTCCTGCCTTAGCCTCCCAAGCACTGGGATTATAGTCATGAGCCACCACCCCTTACCTACAATCAATTTTTTTTTTAATTTTTTTTTGGTGCCGGAGATCGAACCTGGAACCTTGTGCCTGCCTTGCAGGCAGCAGAACCACTGAGCTAAATCCCCAGCCCCCTTAAAATGCAATCAATTTTTGAACTCTTTCATAATCTCCAAAAAGAAACCATATAACCCTTAGCTACGATCTCTCACCCCTGCCCCTGGGCATACACTGGTCTGCTTTCTATTTCTGTGGATTTGTATTTTCTGGTTGTTAATTTTTGTTTTGTTTTTTTGAGACCAGGTCTTGCTGTATAGTTTAAACTGACCTGAATGCACTATGTAGCCAAGGCTGGCCTGAGAAGGCAATCTTCCTGCCTCAGCTTCCTGAGTGCTGCGATTATGGGTGTTCCCCACCATGCCTGGCTTTTACCTTTTCTGGACATTTCATATAAACGGAATGATGCAATATGTGCTCCTTGGTAACAGACTACTTTTACTTAGCTGAATTTTTTCCCCTTCCTTTCCCTTCCCTTCCCTCCCCCTTCCGCTTTCCCCCTCCCTCTTCCCCTTTCCTCCTTTCCCACTTCCTTCCCTTCCCTTTCCTTCCTGCCCTTTCTCTTTTTTGAAATGAGGCCTCTTTATGTTGCCCCAGCAATAAACTTCTAACTTCAAGAAATTCTCCTGCCTCAGTGTTCTCAGTTCACAGGATAAGCATGCACTTCCAGGCACATCTCGCCTAATGTTTCAAGTATCATTCGTGTTTTAACATGTTTCAGTATCTTGTGCGTTTTTAATGTGTAATAATATTCTGCTATACAGGTGTGTGACGTTTTATTCATTCACACATTAGTCAGTGGCTGTTTGAGTTGTTTTGGCTCCTATGAATGACACTGCTAGGGACACACATGTACCTATTTTCTATCCTTTGACATTTAGTCCATGGATTTTCTTTTTTTTTTTGGTACTGGGAATCTAACTTGGGTCCTTGAGCTTGCGAGACAGGCGGCGGAACCACTGAGCTAAATCACCGGCCCCATGGATTTATTTTTTAATTAAACATGTTTCTTGTATGCAGCACATTGTTGGATATGCTTCTTCTTCTTCTTCTTTTTTTTTTTTTTTTTTTTTTTTTTTTTT